TTCACTTTTTCCCCGTGCTTTTAGATACGAGCACTCCGTCTTTATGTCTTTGGTCATTCCCGAGGACGAATTTTGGTACTCTACTGCGCAGTGACGTAGTATTGAGTGCATACAATGTATTTCTTATGGGTGCACTCAATAGTACGTCACAATGAGTGCTGCGAGTTAGGGCCGGGCGGGGGAGTGGATTTCAAAAAAGCTGCGCAATGACTGACCTGTGTGGATTGGTCTTGCACTGGCTAGAGTACCTGTATAATACGAGCACTCCGTCTTTATATTATTTCTTATTTCTTCAATTCAGTAATTTCGATTCTATGGCTGCATTGCGCGGAAGTTTTGGCCTCCTAAGGATAGGTGTTTGGTCAGAGTCTCCAAGAGGTGAGGTCATTCCTGTCATTCATTTGGACTTTTACTCTCCTTGTTGGATAACTTGTCAGAATAGCACTCTTCGGCTATCTTGCCAACAAAAATTTCAAGTATTATCAGATGAGTTTTTACATGTACCTGCACAGTTTTAAAATATTATGCTCCGCTTTTTCAAAATGCGAAAAGAGCTCCCAATGTCGCTCAACACCCTCAAGCTCTCGCCACTTAAGTTTCATTGCGGAACATGGTCCTCTGCAGAGCTAAGTAGGCAAGGAAGACTTAGGAATGTTCAACTTTGAGTAAACAACACTAGTTGATCATCTGCTACTTAACACAAGCCCTTTCAATGCGCATCTATCAAAGCGAGTCACAGCATACAGGTTCAACACAAGGTAGGATTGAAGGAAGATAGTTCACACCTACTAACTCCAACTAAACTCTTGATTCTTACCAATACATCTTAAATTCTGATCGGATTCAGATCTCAAAAGAGCTCACTCCTACAAACCCTGGCCAGTACAGAATCTTACAATTAAGGCTGCAGGAAAGTGCTGTTTGGAAGAGACGTATTAATCACTTGAGCTTTTATGTCGAATATACCTATTTGATAAAAGAATGTCAGTTCCTCTTAAATGTTGAGTATATTCATCAAGAAAAAATTAGCTTTTCGACCATGCCGTGATGTGCTGCTGCCTGGCAGATGAAACTGGAACTTCATACGTGTCTACTCAACGTTTTTACGTTGACTGCTGCCGTACAGGGTAGTGTAGGCGAATCACAGGGTAGTGCGAAATTGTGAAATGCGCAGTCTTAAGCAATGTGAAGGCTAAGAGTTTTCTGAACCTCCGATGCTTTGCTGCATGTAGGTACTCATGATGCCGCTAAACCACTTCAAGTACCCATTTACCCTCAATAATTTTCTATGTTCAATGAGCGTTTAAGATTGTGTTTTCCTAAAATTTTCTGTGCAATTGAGACACGTTTGTCCCATTATTCCAACTCTTCATTCACTGCTGTTACCTTTTATCATTTCAGAGGACCGAACTAGAAATAAAAATGAAGTTAACTATGATGACAACACAATTGATGGAGTACCCTTGAGGAAATTATACATCAAGAATGTCCCCTGTGGCGTAAGTCATTTTTTTTCATTTGTCCCTCAAGTAAATGAAAAGTAATTAATAGGATTAAGACCTCCCACGGTTCGTTTGAACCAAAGTTAAATGAAGAGTCGATGCACTCATGATTTCTCCTCAGAACCTTGAAGTATGATGTAAATACATTGCTTTAAGACCAAAACGAAAATATTCTGTCGACCTCTCGGAAAATAAGGCCGATTTAAAGGTTTCTAGCCCCGAATCGGCTGAAAATTGCTGATTACAGAGCAATTATCCAATACTTATGGCTGTACTCTTTGTTTTTTGAAGTTGTGGGGGCATTGAGGATAGGAAAAGGCCTTTTTCTTCCTTCACCCCCCGCCCCCTTCCATGAAAAACCATTTATACCCATGCATATGCATGCGCTCAAATTGATATGCATGTCTTGCTAGTTTGAGTCGGTGGATTGGACCCAAAGTAGAATACCAATGACCAAACTCGAAAATTGCATAATCGCTTATTGCAACGTTGCAGATTTCCCTCTATTATTTTTTACGGCCGAGAATTTTGCAGAATTTCAAGGAAAACTTCATTCGTTTTTTTTACAACGACATTAAAATTCAGTGGAAGTAATTCTCTCAAATCTTTCCTATGGTTCGTCTATAAATGAAGAAAGTAGAAAAATATGCGAGCAGAAACTCTGAAACGTCACAATAAAGATGCGTTTAATATTTGAGTTTACCTTTCAATATTCTTTAAAATGTATTAAAAATACAGCAGGATTGATTGGAATATTTGAAGAAAAAATAGTCTTTTTCACAAAATTAGAAGGTTAGTTATATTGAAAGCATTTGAATACTATGAACAGAAACAACAGGGTCTCGGCTTTTATAGTGAGCAAGCCCCTGAGAGTGTCCATCAAGATTTTAAAGCCACATGGCTGAAATACAAAGTAGCAGAAACAAACCCTAACTACTTAACTCAATTGCTACGCGCAGTTTGCGAGTACAATTCACTGCATCTGTAATCTCGTGGGTATAATCATCTTTACTTAAAAAATTATACTAGTATGCGTAATTATTTTTATAATTCCATCCTTAAATGATTTTATGCGATTTTTATATGATTTATGCTGCTTTGTTGTGCCGTATTCATTGTTTGCTTATATGCTTCCATTCACAGTAGATTTTTTGCTTGATTGCTAAATTGCTTTTCTGCCATTCTAACATGGTTTATGCTTTGCCATATTTTGTATTCAAATGCTTTCAATAGGCATAACTAACCCTCTATTTTCGTGAAAAAGACTATTTTTTCTTCAAATATTCCAATTAATCCTGCTGTATTTTTTAATACATTTTAAAGAATATTGAAAGGTAAACTCAAATATTAAACGCATCTTTATTGTGACGTTTCAGAGTTTCTGCTCGCATATTTTTCTACTTTCTTTATTTATAGACGAACCATAGGAAAGATTTGAGAGAATTACTTCCACTGAATTTTAATGTCATTGTAAAAAAAACGAATGAAGTTTTCCTTGAAATTCTGCAAAATTCTCGGCCGTAAAAAATAATAGAGGGAAATCTGCAACGTTGCAATAAGCGATTGTGCGATTTTCGAGTTTGGTCATTGGTATTCTACTTTGGGTCCAATCTACCGACTCAAACTAGCAAGACATGCATATCAATTTGAGCGCATGCATATGCATGGGTGTAAATGGTTTTTCATGGAAGGGGGCGGGGGGAGCGAGGGACGGGGGGGTGAAGGAAGAAAAAGGTCTCTTTCTACCCTCGATGCCCTCACAACTTCAAAAAACAAAAAGTACAGCCATAATTATTGGATAATTGCTCTGTAATCAGCAATTTTCAGCCGATTCAGGGCTAAAAATCTTTAAATCGGTCTTATTTTCCGAGAGCTCGACAGAATATTTTCGTTTTGGTCTTAAAGTAATGTATTTACAACATACTTCAAGATTCTGAAGAGAAATCATGAGTGCATCGACTTTTCATTTAACTTTGGTTCAAACGAACCGTGCTCTTTGAGCGAAAGTCGGTAAGGGTTGAAATTATCAAAAGGTCCTTAAACTGGACAAAATTTTTTTCAAGTGAAACCGAATGGGTTTGGAGGGTCAGAGCTAAAAAATTCAATTTTGCCTCAAAGTGGGACACTTCAATAGAGTACTGTAATCTCATGACATCTAAGTACCATCTTTTCTGAGCGACACCAAAGATGAACTGATTCGCGAACTTCCATTTTTCAATTTCTGCAGTGTTTTTACCGAGCCCCCCCCTCCCTTCCCCGATTAATTGCGGACCCGAGACTATGGAACGGCGTTGCGGACCAAACCTAAAACGCACGCACAACACAGAAAATAAGTGCGGCACAGTTAAATCTCTAATGTCACCCAGGAAATGTTGAATATTTCACTATTTCAGTGCTTTACCGAGAATGTTGTGTGCTACGAGAAATTTCGATATTTGAACCTAACCTCAAATGCTGCGTCGCGCGCCGAACTTCGATAGATCGAAATTCTTCGCGACGCACAACTATTCACTTCTCTCCGGGGAACGCACAATCTTTTTTTTTTTTTTTTAAATCAGAAAACCGTTGGAGGGGAATAGCTGCACTGTTGCCAAGACTATATCTGAAAAGCATACAATTGTGTTTCACTCACCCAATTTTTTCGAGATCACGCTTTTCGACCCCTCTTGAATCTGAATTCACAACCATCACAAGATTAACAACATCAAATTGTCTCCTATCAGCAGATCGCAACTCTCGGCAAGCCCGAATTTTGAAAGTCTTGGCAACCACGCCATTATTCCCCTCCAACGGTTTCCTGACGAAGAAAAGGAAGACGTAAAAATGTTGTGCTTCACGCACTTCGCGCAGAAGTTCGATCCATCGAAAGTGCGTCGGTAGTATTTGAAGATATTCCCGTAATTTCTTGCGCACAACGCGTAATCGTTAAAGTATGGAAAGGAGGGGTATCGATAAGGGCCGATTTTGGCCCCACTTCCAAAAATCATCTGAACCCATATTTTAAGTGCTCTAGGGTAGGTGCATTCTGGCGCATAATATTTTTGCGATTGGGCATCGTTTTCCTCTCAAAACAGCAGACTCAATTTTTCGACTGAAAAATGGTTTCAATTTTATGACAAGCCCAAAAAAGCTTTGTTTCATGAATACGGGAGGTCCATTCACGTAATTTTTTGCGTACTTTTCAATGGAACAATTGAATATTGTCTAAATTCATCATTAGTGGGTCATTCTGGACATTTTCAACGATTTTTGGGGTTTTTGGCAATTTTTCACCTGTAACTAGAAAACGGTTAATTATGCAACAAAACAATGAGTCAGTTAAGTCATGTTTTTTTTATTGTGTCATTCGAAAGTAGTAAGTGACCGAAGCTTAGATTTTTTTCCCCAAATTTTTTTGATGACTGCTAACGGGAGAAAAGTTTATTCGAAAGTGCCAAAAATTAGGGTGGCCTAAAACGGCGTTTGAACTGCGCGCTCGTAGGTTCCGCATGTACACGTCACGATCAATATGGCAGCGGAATGCGTAGTGGAAGAATACACGGCGGCGACGCGTTGGCGGTAGGTTTTTGTTGGTCAATTGGAGGTTATGTCGGTTACTTTGTTTGAGATTCATATCCATTGTTCTTAATTCTCTAAGCTTTTCAATCAGAATGAGATACAGGTGTATGTAGAATATGAAACATTCACACAGAACTTACTTAACCTCAAACGAGAAATCGTGATGTCAAAAACGGTAGCGTGGCGGTAGTAAGCAGGTTGGCTTCGTCGCCGCCATCTTCCCGTCTATGACGCGGAGATGCGGAGATTCACGGCGGTCGGTTCAAACACGTTTTCAAGGACCCCCAAAAAGGAAGCGTCATATCTCCGCGGAGACATTTTTTCGTGAAATTTTAACATGCGCATCGTTCTTCTCGTACCGAAAACTGTAAGGTCCGACTATTTGCAGGCAAATCCCTCCCGAGCTTAACTGACTCATTGCAGATTCAAAAAGAGCGTAAAAAATCCGTCAGAAATCATTGGTTAGACATTTTCTCAGCTTAAACCGTCAACACAAAAAACAGCTCTAAACTTGAGAAAACCTAGAAAACTGCATTTTTCACGATTATTAGTCTTCATTAACACCCAGCACAATTTTGCCACATCACCAAAATTCAACAGATTAAAGTTACATGTCAGTACATGAAACACGCCAAAAATTACGGTGTGGAAAAATTGTGCTCATTGATAAAAATAGACTTTTGTTGAATAGTACCATCCTGAGTACCTTGAATAAAAGATGAAAATTCTCTAACTCTCCGGGAAGATTCGCCAATCATTCACGGGATACCTGTATCCGGGTAATTTTTTGCGTACTTTCGATTGGAACGAGTGAAAATTGTGAAAAATCATGTTAAGTGGGCCATTCAGAGAATTTTTCACGATTTTTGGGATTTTATTGTGGTGGGGGGAGGCACGGTGCGTTTTAAACAATTTTAATGCGGTCAACATACCACCCGCGATTTTTTTGCGGAAATGTCAACTAGAAGGCCTACTGATTGAGGAACAACAAACCGCGAAATCTGTGATGGGGCCGTTTTTGAGAAAATGCGATTTTTCGCTTTTTTGGCGGGAATTTCGGGTCAAGGCGCTGAAAAAGTCAAGTTAGGCTGTTTTTGTAGTTCGTAAATGCATATCCTATACATTTTGAGTCAATCAAGTGCCAGTAGATAGCTATTCGTGCATATTGCCCAAAATTCATATCCTTAAATCCACGACTTTTGGGTTTTTGGGGGGTTAGTCAAGGAGAAATCCGAAAAAAAGAGGGTTAACCCGGAACAAATTGCTTAACAAACTTTTCCTACGTAAACTTCTTCAGTAGGTCCTATTGAACAACATACCAAAAGTTTACCACGGTTCGCTCCCGGAACACCCCCCCAAATTGCCTAAATTTCAAAATGGCGGCCATAATAAGGCCTCTGGGAGTTCGATTTTTTTAAAAATACGCATACAGTGTCATGTGAGGTGTCAATTCCTATGTAATTTTGGTCGTAGATTTCAAATATGAAGTAAAAAAAGTCCCTTGATCAAAAGGGGGTACCCCAAATCCAAGATGGCAGCCAATTTTGAAAGTCAAGAGGGTGGATTTTTAAAAAGTTCGCGTGATAAGGCAAGTGAGGTATCATTTCTTATGTAATTTTGGTCGTAGATTTCATTTATGAAGTCATAAAAGCCCTCAAGTCAAAGGGATTGCTCCAAATGCAAAGATGGCGGCCAGCTTTGAAAGGCAGGAGGGTGAATTTTTGAAATGTTTACGTGACATCCCTAGTAAAATAGAATCAACCTGACGTTTCATAAACTACCCTGAGTCAGACTAATTCAGGCTGATATCAATCTGACTCAGGGTAGTTTATGAAACATACCCTGACGTCAGGTTGATTCTATTTTACTAGGGATGTCACGTAAACATTTCAAAAATTCACCCTCCTGCCTTTCAAAGCTGGCCGCCATCTTTGCATTTGGAGCAATCCCTTTGACTTGAGGGCTTTTATGACTTCATAAATGAAATCTACGACCAAAATTACATAAGAAATGATACCTCACTTGCCTTATCACGCGAACTTTTTAAAAATCCACCCTCTTGACTTTCAAAATTGGCTGCCATCTTGGATTTGGGGTACCCCCTTTTGATCAAGGGACTTTTTTTACTTCATATTTGAAATCTACGACCAAAATTACATAGGAATTGACACCTCACATGACACTGTATGCGTATTTTTAAAAAAATCGAACTCCCAGAGGCCTTATTATGGCCGCCATTTTGAAATTTAGGCAATTTGGGGGGGTGTTCCGGGAGCGAACCGTGGTAAACTTTTGGTATGTTGTTCAATAGGACCTACTGAAGAAGTTTACGTAGGAAAAGTTTGTTAAGCAATTTGTTCCGGGTTAACCCTCTTTTTTTCGGATTTCTCCTTGACTAACCCCCCAAAAACCCAAAAGTCGTGGATTTAAGGATATGAATTTTGGGCAATATGCACGAATAGCTATCTACTGGCACTTGATTGACTCAAAATGTATAGGATATGCATTTACGAACTACAAAAACAGCCTAACTTGACTTTTTCAGCGCCTTGACCCGAAATTCCCGCCAAAAAAGCGAAAAATCGCATTTTCTCAAAAACGGCCCCATCACAGATTTCGCGGTTTGTTGTTCCTCAATCAGTAGGCCTTCTAGTTGACATTTCCGCAAAAAAATCGCGGGTGGTATGTTGACCGCATTAAAATTGTTTAAAACGCACCGTGGAGGTGGTTTGGGGTTTTTAGGGGGCTCGGGGAGCATATTTTGTTTGTAATACAACAAAAACAATAACAAATTCAGAAAGAACGCAAAAAATTCGGTAGAATTCGATACTTGACACTCTCTCTCAGCTTGGACTGTCTACCCGAAAAACGGTCTCAAACTTGAGAAACGGGAAAAACCGGCCTTTTCTCCAGCTCCCCAGTCATAATTTACATCCTTGTCAGTTAACAGGTTAGAACGTTAAGCAGTATACAGGGTGTAACAACTAAGTGAAAACAAACTTCCAGGGGTTATTCTATGGCTCAAAATAAGCACATATTGTTCACAATAAATAAGGAGAAGACCTGCATCATTATCCACGTTGCTATCCCCTCAGACCACAACATCGTCCAGAAAGAAGCCGAAAAGCGAACCAAATATAAGAACCTGGCAATCGAAACGCAAAGAATGTGGGGGATGAAAACATGAGTTGTTCCGGCAATAATTGGAGCAACAGGCACCATTTCTAAAAGTGCAGCTAAGGCAATCTCAGAGATTCCGGGTAGACACAACCTCAGCACTCTCCAAAAGACAGTCATCTTGAAGACAGCTCATATTGTTAGAAAAGTCATGGACTGAAGTACCTGAGAAGTGAGGTACACTTCTGGTACTTCGGCCGCTAGGAAAAATTTGCCGTCCTTAAGACGTGATGTAAGGTCAAAATAATAATGATAAAAATTATCCTGCACACCTGTAATATCACTAGATCTTTCCTAAACTCAGGGCAGTGACTGTATTTTTATTTTTAATTATGTGACCGACTGCTAACTTAGTGGTTTATGCTCTTTTACTTTGACAAACTTTTTTTAAAATTTTTAACAACTGTTTACGATTTTAACATCTTTTTTCGATTTTAACACCTTTTTACGATTTTAACACCTTTTTACGATTTCAACACTTTTGAAGAAATGTTTATGAACCCTCAAATTTTAGCAATTTTTAAAGGCTCTAGCTTTGAAAGACTTGGCTACGGTCCGTCTTTCAATGAGTTTATTCCCACAAACGTATTTTTCTGTGAAAAGTACTTAAAATAGTAATAAAAAAAAAAAAAATCATTGGAACGGGTTTTACGAAAAAAAACGTAAAAACCTTTTGTTAAGCTAGTGATGTAAATTATGACTGGGGAGCTGGAGAAGAGGCCGGTTTTTCCCGTTTCTCAAGTTTGAGACCGTTTTTCGGGTAGACAGTCCAAGCTGAGAGAGAGTGTCAAGTATCGAATCCAATCGAATTTTTCGCGTTCTTTCTGAATTTGTTATTTTTTTGGTGTATTACAGACAAAAAATGCTTTCCAAGCNCCCCTCCCCCCCCCCCCCACAGAAAAACCCCAAAACCCCCCTAAAATCTTGAAAAATTCTTTGAATGGCCCACTTAACATGTTTTTTCACAATTTTCACTCGTTCCAATCGAAAGTACGCAAAAAATTACCCGGATATAGGTATCCCGTGAATGATTGGCGAATCTTCCCGGAGAGTTAGAGAATTTTCATCTTTTATTCAAGGTACTCAGGATGGTACTATTCAACACAAGTCTATTTTTATCAATGAGCACAATTTTTCCACACCGTAATTTTTGGCGTGTTTCATGTACTGACATGTAACTTTAATCTGTTGAATTTTGGTGATGTGGCAAAATTGTGCTGGGTGTTAATGAAGACTAATAATCGTGAAAAATGCAGTTTTCTAGGTTCTCTCAAGTTTAGAGCTGTTTTTTGTGTTGACGGTTTAAGCTGAGAAAATGTCTAACCAATGATTTCTGACGGATTTTTTACGCTCTTTTTGAATCTGCAATTGTTTCGTTGCATAATTAACCATTTTCTAGTTACAGGTGAAAAATTGCCAAAAACCCCAAAAATCGTTGAAAATGTCCAGAATGACCCTCTTAAAGTGAGTTTAGACAATATTCGCCTGTTCCATTGAAAACTACGCCAAAAATTACGTAATTGGACCTCCCGTATTCATGAAACAAAGCTTTTTGGGGCTCGTCATATAATTAAAACCATTTTTCAGTCGAAAAATTTAGTCTGCTGTTTTGAGAGGAAAACGATGCCCAATCGCGAAAACATTATGCGCCAGAATGCACCTACCCTAGAGCACTTAAAACATGGGTTCAGATGATTTTTTGAAGTGGGCCGAAATCGGCCCTTATTGATACCCCTCCTTTCTCGCAGCGCACGACATTTTCCGCGAAGCACTCAGATTTTCCTGTGCAGCGCATATTTTTTGTGTCGCTCGTGAATTTTTTGTTGCGCGCGCGTTTCAGGTTTGGTCCGCAACGACGTTCCATACCGAGACTACTCTACGAGGCCCGGCTGAAAAGAGAACTTCTACGCAAATCTGCCAGCTTTCAACAAGTGGTTGAAATCCCATCGAAATAAATTAATGGGATTGTTTTTGAATCTTTTTGGAAGCTGCAGCTTCGACTTTGGCTTTTGAATCGAACTGAGTGCCTTTGATATGAAGGCTCCATTCAGGACCAAAAAAACCCAAAAATCTTAAGGAAATACGTGAGGACTATAATGAAGGATGAGTAATGGTCTCCAAATCCAATCGCTAAATGATGACAGAAGTTTGATGACTGCAATGGGGTCGGGCATCATCATGCTGTAACAAGAACTTCGTGCATGTTGGTTGTAGGTATTCTTCGAACCCTGGATTTTAAAAGTTATAACATCCCACCGTACATGCCGAAATTGGTATTGGACAGCCTCATCTGTCACCCGCAACATCTTCCTTCAACTTGTTGGAGAGAACATGTTGGAAGTTTGGCAACACTGTAACATCAAAGATGGTTCAATTTTGCCAACCAATAAGATGTTAGAGATGTATTACGTTTACTCTCAGAATATCTGTAGTTTTTGCCGAAATCTTCAATGGCTCTCAAGTTATGAGCTTGGAGCGTTTCTTTTCAGCGGAGCTCCTTAACATCTTGTCTTATTTACAGATTGATTCCTATTTTTAATATGTACCGAAGTCAAGGTATTGCATTCTGTAAATGAAGTTACGTGTTGAAGTTTTTTTCAGTGAAAGAAATGATTTTCATCCATCAATTGCACAGTATACCTTCCAACCATAGACTTAAGTGAATGCTGCTGGAGACAAAAAACACAATTTCTGAAAGACCATTAGAAGATGCCGCATGGCATTACCCACTGACAACTGAATTAACAAATAATGGGGGGGGGGGGGACAAAAAAGAAAATTAGAAAATGTCAAACTCCTAGAGAACCATGTGGGTATCATCGTTGCTTCAGTCATTACTCACTGGGAGCAGTTGACCCGATCTTGTCACTGCTTTTCCGCTGTTACAATTGATAATATCTGTCAGGATTCTAACAGACGTTTTTTTTGTATTCAATGCTTTTTAGACCAAACAAGAACAACTTTATTCGTGTTTTATGTATTTTGGTGATGTTGAAAACATAGTCATCTGTCATAGCCAGCACACATGCAAAGGATTCAACAATCGGCATAAAGAGTGCGACAAAGTCACCTTTGCTTTTGTCACCTACAAATCAACTGATGATGCTATAAAGTGAGTTCATGTACCCTTCTTAATGTATTATGAATAAGTACTGTGAATCGCGGGGTTGCAACCAAATTGTGAAGGTGCCCTACAAATTGTAGAGGCTAAGAGGTTTTTTTTTTTTTTTTCGTTCGAAGGTGTTCAGATTTTCAGCTCTTGTAGAATAATGCAACTTTGCAAGCATCCAAAAATTAAACGAAATTTTGATTAGAGTGTTGTGTTGACTGTTTTGCGAAAATTGCCGAAGCCAAAAAAAAGAGGGTTATTCATACAGGCGAAAAATGTACCCAGCCCGGAATGTACGAAACTTTGTGAGCCGATAGTACTAGTTGAGAGAGGCTTATCCCTAACTCCGTTTTTGCAGGAACCCCAGGGAAACAGCGTTGCCATTTTTTAAAGTCGTAACCTTCAAACATCCATAACTTTCGCAAAAATGCAATTACAGAGCTTGTATTTATATGAAAAAACGCCAAAAATTACGCTCTATCGACCTATGCAAAAAAATTTTAATTTGACTCTACTGTTGCCACGTTTTGGCCATTATTTTAATTTTCGTAATTATTTAAAATTACGTTACCGCCATAAAATGTGTTTGCGGTTGGTGGGGATTGAATTAAAACCTGTCGGAATTATTGTTCGTTCGATTCCGCATACATTGATATGTTATACTTTTCTGAGAGACTTAGGGAACACGAGTTATAGCGATTTAAAAATTCGGCAACACGCCCGACCCCCGATATTGACGCTCGTTCAGGTACGTTTCGTGACTCCAAGTTAAAGCAAAACACCTAGACCAAACAAAATTCGAAAAAACAGTTCATGTTTTGCGCTTTTTTGAAACTTTAACATGATTTTTAGGAATTCAAGTAGCGGCGGTGTTGCCGGTTTTCAATGAAAACCAACGCTGCGATCACAATTTAAGTAGTACTCATTCAATCACGTCCAGCTACATTTATTAACCTAAACTGACCATTTGCGATATGGTGTTCACAACATTGCCTAATTTTCGTCGGAACTCGCGTAGAGGCGGTGTTGCCAGTTTTCGTGGAAACCGCCACCGCAATCACAAAAAAAAATGTATTACTTATTAAATCACGTTCAGCCTTATTCTGTAGTTAGAACTGTCTATTTATCGAATCGATGGTTTCTTCTATCTCTCTGCAACGGCAGTGGTGCCTAACAGTAACAAGATTTAGAAGAAAGTGAAAGAAGTAAGAAGAAGAAAAGTAAGAAGTAAAAGAAAAGCAGTAGAAGAAATTATCGATTCGATAAATAGACAGTTCCAACTACAGAATAAGGCTAAACGTGATTTAATAAGTAATCTATTTTTTTGTGATTGCGGTGGCGGTTTCCGTGAAAACTGGCAACCCCGCCTCTACGCGAATTCCGACGGCAATTAGGCAATGTTGTGAATACCATGTCGCAAATGGTCAGTTTAGGTTAACAGATGTAAAATGCACTAGTGACTATTATTCTTGTCAATAGGAGGAGATGTGTCAGATCACCCATCAAGAACTGAATTAAATGCTACTGGACCAACGGAAGTTTTTTTGTTTTAACTGTTCTTAAGTAAAGAAAGAAGCAGTACTACATAATTTTAATGAAACTTTATGATGAATATTTAAGAAATAAATCAAATTATAAGGCAATAATTAGTTTTCAAATTCTAGGAGGGAGAGGTGAATATTTAAAGTAATGCCCTGAAAAGCCATTTATCTGACAGAGAGAGAGCAGAACTTGAAGAAAGCATACCGAAGGACTCTTGGATGGAAGCTGTTAGTAGAATGCCAAGAGCGCGGATTGATTGATTGTGAACTTTGAATCAGTGAAATTCAAAGGACAAAAAAGCTATCAATATTAATCTAGCGAGAAAGGAAGGACAGAGAAAGAAGCTTCACTGATTTGCGCCACTGAAAGTAGTGCCACACTAAAACACTGGTGAAATGCTCTAGATTATTCCCACAGAGGGTTGTTTCAGAGAAAACTTGCTGACACATTGTTTTGCAAGATCTATGTAGCCTCCATCTTGGTCCTCCATCTCTCTAAACTTGTGTTCAATTTTGTTTGTTCTCAGAGCATTGAATTCAAAATCTGTCCAGTTTAAAAGGAATAAATTGTACATTTTAGCAGCTTTTGCCCATTGCCAGCCTTATACCCAAGATGAATCAAGTGAAGAAGATGAGCCTCTTGATCCTAACACGGTGAGTTTTTACCAAGAGCCAAACTTGATCTCGCCAAAAAAATAAAATTAAAATCAAAACTGATCAGTTGCATGGGTGAGGGATTTGAGAATAAAAAATATGTAGTCATAGAACTTTTCGCGATAAAAACGATGGTATCGTTCAAAAAGTCAAAAATCAAGTCCTTAAGCCCGAAAAAGCCTGTCAAAGTTCCATCAAATTCAAGTTATAAATAACGATTTTCATTGGCTGCAGTACAGTTGGTCAAACTACGCGGGAGTTTCTCCTCGCCGCCGTTACCCATGTCTTGACCGCGTGTTTATCTAGTGGAGGTTAGGTTAGGTACAGTTCATCTCGAGCTTCAATTGGCTACGATGATAAGCGGACGCTGCCGGAGAAACCCGAGCAGGGCCGGCTGCTACGCATCGCCCTCCGCTCTCCGCCGAACGGCTCCTCCGTCCGTGAAGAAAATGGGAAAGGAGCGATTTTCAACTCACTTTCCGACCCAGAAATTGTCGTGAAGAGCCAAAAACCCAGTCTGTAATTGATTCATCTTATCTTCAGGTATCCATCAAGATAAAAAAAATTAGTTTAGTCGGAAAACTCGATTTTTCCTGATTTTTTAAAAAACTCACATTAGCACGCAGTTTAGAAAGCAAAAACCCGTGGCCATGCGTTGTGACGTCAGAGTCACGTGATTTCGAGGCGCGGGAAGGAACCCCGTTTCAAACCGTTTCTCAACTTTCGACGCTTTTTCTCCATGTTCCAATCATCAGAAAATATTTTAAAAAAAACGCTTTCCAGCCACAGTGGAAACGAAAGGTAGATTTCGACTAATCGTTTCTATGAAAACAGTTGCGCCTAATGAGCCTGACAGGTCGGAAAATCGTCCCCCTTGAACTTGAGATTTTCCGGATAAGGAGTGGTTTTAGAGGGTAGGTGAATATAGGTCGTTTTGAAGGCCACAACGAGACGAGTTTTTTGACGTATTACCGACTAAGATAGGACGAGTTTGAAAAATCCTCCCCCTTTGGACTTGAGATTTTCCGTATAAGGGGTGGGTTTAGAGGGTAGGTGAATATAGGTCGTTTTGAAGGCCACGACGAGACGAGTTTTTTGACGTATCGCCGACTAGGATCGGACGAGTTTGAAAAATCCTCCCCCTTTGGACTTGAGATTTTCCGTTTAAGGGGTGGGTTTAGAGGGTAGGTGAATATAGGTTGTTTTGAAGGCCACGACGAGACGAGTTTTTTGACGTATTACCGACTAAGATCGGACGAGTTTGAACAATCCTCCCCCTTTGGACTTGAGATTTTCCGTATAAGGGGTGGGTTTAGAGGGTAGGTGAATATAGGTTGTTTTGAAGGCCACGACGAGACGAGTTTTTTGACGTATCGCCGACTAGGATCGGACGAGTTTGAAAAATCATCCCCCTTTGGACTTGAGATTTTCCGGATAAGGGGTGGACCGATTTTCACGAAAAAGGAAACTTGATCTAGACCTCATAGCAGTGAAGAACCATGCTTAGTTTCGTTTTGATCGTACGGATAGTTCCGGAAAAA